ACCCGGGTCTCCTGGGTGAAAGCCAGACATCCTAGCCACTGGACGACAACGGACGGTCGACAATGGCTTAGCGTATATTTTAGTTAGGGTAATTTATTGTAAACAATATTTTTATAAAAAAAATTCATAAGTATTATTATTTAAACTTTTAATTATATTTTTTCACTTTTAATAACAATTAGTAAAATATATCCTTTACTAATATATACAACTCATATATTCACGATCCTGCAAAAAATTTGTACATGCAACCAAATCGATAAAAATACTGTTTAAAGTTTTGTAAATTGTTCTAATGTTGTCAAAAGTCAAATTTGCTACTCTCAAGGAAGAATCGAGTAAGATGGATTCAAATGGATATGTCAACGGGTAGAGTACTTACTAATTTTAAAATATACAAATCTGAATATAATTAGTAAATGGAATACCCGAATCTTATAATTATTTAAATATTTTTAAAATTTACTATTCAAAATTGAATCCTAATACATACCCACTACTCAATAATTACTTGAACTTGTTTAAAAATTCGATTATGTAAAAAATTATTAAAATGCTCTTTTTAGGTACCTAATTATTTGAACTTGAATTTATACTTGTATTTATATACAATAATATTTTCATACATATTTCATATAATTCACTAATAATTAAATTTATAAATCACACAAATAATAAAATTTAAATTTAAATAATAAAAAATAACTCTATCAAATATCAATTTAAATAACTAAAAATAAATATCCAAATAAAAAGTTAAATAATATTATAAGTTTAATTAACTATATGGATTTGTTATTAATTACATGAAATTAAAAAAAAATAGTTAAGTTCCAAAAGTATTCTAATCTCACAACTTCTTTTTAAATATATATTTTATAAATTTATATAAACAAAGGTTTATATTATAATTAATAATTTTACAAGTTATAATTTTTTAAGGTTAATATAAAATAAAAGTAAATATGTTTATATATTTAAAGCATATATATAATAGTAATTATATTTTTTATAAATTAACACAATATATAGAATATATGTGTTAAAAAGTATTACAAATTAATTAATAATCATAATTTTATAAATTAATTTAATTAATAATATAAATTTATCTTTAATTACATAA